CTCCCTCAGCACTGACCCTCCGACAGTGCGGCGTTCCCTCAGCACTGACCCTCCGACAGTGCGGCGCTCCCTCAGCATTGACCCTCTGACAGTGCAGCACTCCCTCAGCACTGCACTGTCAGCATATATGATGTTCCTGCATTGGGGAATTGAACCTACCATCCCATGGCCTATAATATCTGATTTTCTGTGTTCACTTCAAGTGTTGACTGATTGTTGGTCCTGTGTGGAGCCCCAGGCTTTGCTTTCTGATATTAGGGTACTATGTAAATGCAAGTTATTCTGGAGGATTGGCACTATGTGTGATTGACAGCTGTAGTTCTAAGGCTGCGATCTCTGAATGGTTTGATACTGTGTCTTTTGCTCCTAATGTCAGCTGTGGATATGAATGTAGATGAATAATAAACATCATAATACAGGAAATCTCTTTTCTGGTTGTAATACTGACCCTCTCAGTTACACTCCGTCTGAAGGTATTGGAAACAGTGCAGACAAATTTCACAGGAATAGTTCCAGCAATGGGCGGGGGTGGGGGTGGTGGAACTGGAGTCACGTGGAAGAGATTGGGGAAGTTGGAGTGGAGCTGTGAAGAGATTTGTCGGAGATGTTCGAAATCGCAAAGGCAAGAGTCGACAAGGAGAAATTTTCCCATTGGATCGAAATTCAGAGGGCAAAGATTGAAAGTAATTGGTAAAAGCAGCAATGGGGTCTCCAGGAGTAACTGGTTTGGATCTAGAATGAGCTATTCAAAGAGCAGGTTCAGCCAAAGCTTTCCAAAAGGCAACAGGATCCTTATCTGAAGAGAAAATATTTATTAGTTTGAGATAGTACATAGAACATTACAGCGCAGTACAGGCCCTTCGGCCCTCGATGTTGCGCCGACCTGTGAAACCAATCTGAAGCCCATCTAACCTACACTATTCTATTATCATCCATATGTTTATCCAATGACCATTTAAATGCCCTTAAAGTTGGCGAGTCAACTATTTTTGCAGGCAAGGCATTCCACGCCCTTACTACTCTCTGAGTAAAGAACCTACCTCTGACATCTGTCCTATATCTATCACCCCTCAATTTAAAGCTATGTCCCCTCGTGCTAGCCATCACCATCCGAGGAAAAAGGCTCCCTCTGTCCACCCTATCTAATCCTCTGATCATCTTGTATGTCTCTATCAAGTCACCTCTTAACCTTCTTCTCTCTAACGAAAACAGCCTCAAGACCCTCAGCCTTTCCTCATAAGACCTTCCCTCCATACCAGGCAACATCCTGGTAAATCTCCTCTGCACCCTTTCCAATGCTTCCACATCCTTCCTATAATGCGGCGACCAGAACTGTACGCAATACTCCAAGTGCGGCCGCACCAGAGTTTTGTACAGCTGCAACATGACCTCATGGCTCCGAAACTCAATCCCTCTACCAATAAAACCTAACATACTGTACGCCTTCTTAACAACGCTATCAACCTGAGTGGCAACTTTCAGTGATCTATGCACATGGACACCGAGATCTTTCTGCTCATCCACACGACCAAGAATCTTACCATTAGCCCAGTACTCTGTATTCCTGTTACTCCTTCCAAAGTGAATCACCTCACACTTTTCCGCATTAAACTCCATTTGCCAGCTCTCAGCCCAGCTCTGCAGCTTATCTATGTCCCTCTGTAACCTGCAACATACTTCCGCACTATCCACAACTCCACCAACTTTGGTGTCATCCGCAAATTTACTAACCCATCCTTCTACGCCCTCATCCAGGTCATTTATAAAAATGACAAACAGCAGTGACCCCAAAACAGATCCTTGAGGTACACCACTAGGATTTGCTGTACTGAGAACCAGCACAGACATGATGGATCAAATGGCCTCTTCCTGTGATGAGATAAGAGTAGTGCCGGGGTTTATCCTTGTAAAATTGTTTCACTATTGGAGTGAGGACAAGTTTTTTTCATTCATTCACAAGATGTGGGCGTCACTGGATAGTGTCAACATTTATTGCCCATCCCCAGGGCAATTAATAGTCAACCATACTGCCGTGGGCCTGGAGTCACATGTATAGTCATACAGCATGGAAATAGAACCTTCGGTCCAACTTGTCTACACCAACCAAGTTTCCCAAACTAAACTAGCCCCATTTACCTGCATTTGGCCCATTTCCTTCTAAATCTTTCCTATTCGTGTACCCATCCAAATGTCTTTTAAATATTGTAATTTTACCTGGATCTACCATTTTGGCAGTTCATTCCACATACGCATCACCCTCTGTGGTAAGGATGGCAGATCTCCTTCCCTAATGGACATTTGTGAACCACGTGCGTTTTCCCCCATGACCACAGTCATCATTAAACTCTTAATTCCAAACTTTTATTGAATTCAAATGCCATCATCTGCGATGACAGGATTTGAACCCAGGTCCCTAGAACATTCCCTGGGTCTCTGGATTAACGGTCCAGCGATAATACCGCTCGGCTGTCACCTCTCTATGCAGAAGGCGGGACTTGAACCCGGGTCTCCTGGCACAGGGGTAGGGACACTACCACTCCACCATAGACTTGATCAGGAGCTCAGGCTGAAAGGGGACATCAGACACTGACCATGCCCACTCAAACAAACCCCACCCACCAAGACAAACATTCAGGATTATGGATTAGTTTTAGCAGCCTGAGAAATTAGAGTCATAAAGATGTAGAGCATGGAAACAGACCCTTCGGCCCAACGCATCCATGCTGACCAGATATCCTAAATGAATCTAGTCCCTTTTGCCAGCATTTGGTCCTTATCCCTCTAAACCCTTCCTATTCATGTCCCCATCCAGATGCCTTTTAAATGTTGTAACTGTACCAGCCTGCACCACTTCCTCTGGCAGCTCGTTCCATACACACACCACCCTCTGAGTGAGTTACCCCTCAGGTCCCTTTTAACACTTACCTTAAAACCTGATACTAGCCCCGCCCATTAATACCGCCCCACCCATCGCTGCAGGCCACACCCATCGCCATTACCCCCGCCTCTTTATGGCGACCCAGCCTATTGACTCTGACCCCGCCCGTTGGCACCGCCCCCTTGCACTTGGCCCCGCCCCTTAATGGCCCGCCCCTCGATACCGACCCGCCCCCCCATTCCTGGCCCTGCCCACTGACACTGAAACATCCACCCTTGACTACTATCCCCGCCCATTGATACCGCCTCCTTGACGTCAGCCTAGCCCCAACACTGCGGGCCACACCCCTTGATAATGGTCCCGCCCTTTGATGCCGGAACCGCCCGCTGACGGCAGGCCCCGCCCCCTTGGTTACAGGTTCCGCCCTCCTCGCTGGTGCTCCTGCCCCGCGTCGTTGTCCCCGCCCCCTTGCTTGAAGGCACCACCCCTCGGCTACAGGCAACCGCCCCCTTGCCGACGTCCCCGCCCACCGATGCCGTCCCGCCCCCTCGCCGATGCCCCGCCCCTCAGTAGCGGCCACGCCCTCCCCGCAGGTGAGGCCTAGGCCCAGGCTCGGGGTGAGAGGCTTCAGGTAAAGGTGGAGGGAGAGGCCCCGGGACATGGGAAGGAGCAAAAGCAGAGCCTCGGCGCCCGATCAAGTCAGCAACAGGTTTATTAACTAAACCCTGAGGGAGCTGGAGGAAACGAGGGGAATGAACCTACAAAAACAACCCTGAAGTAATCTGGAGCAGGAATTACTGGAGAAACTCAACAGCATCTGCGGACAGAGAGAGAGAGAGAGAGAAATCAGTTAATGTTTCCCAGTGACTCAACTAATTTACAGTGAACTTCATCCACAGTCACTAATTCAACTCCAACTAACTAACCCATTGGTAAACTACAGCTTGGGCATCATTAACTAATCACTAAACTAGTGGAACTGATCAAACTAACCTGGCAGGTGATTGAAGTTTCTCTCTAAACCTTAGAAATTAATCAAACTAACCAATCATAAAATCGCTGTGACAAATCAAACGATTGGAACTGATTAATTGTTGCGATTGTTCATTAAACTACTTGAATTAACCAAACCATTTTTATTGACAGTAACTAATTGTTAACCTGCTGGCAGTTATCATTAACTAATTTATCAAGCTGCCATAGCTAATCCATTGTCCTGAATAACTAACTTGCCGGAACTGATCAAACTGCGGTAACTAATCATGCGTGATTGATCTGTTAGTGCCACCATGTTAATCAATAATCTATAGAAATAAAGTGCAAGGTGTAACATAACCAGCAAAACTAACTAGTACTAACTTGCAGTGGAGAACCAAAATCTCAGCAACTAATGAAGCTGCAGTAACTTATTGAAATGTGGTAACCACGTCAAGAAAATATTAACCTCAGTGACTCAAACTGAATGCCAATAACTGAGCAATTGGTCACTTAACTATGTACTAACCTATCCTGATAGGGGAGTAGTGTAAAATACAGTGAACACAACTGACTGAGTTGCAAATTGTGCTGGTCACTGCTTCAGTATTTTGGGTAATCTGACTGAGACCGCAATAGAGTGAGTTCTCTGAAGCCGAGCGAGAGCTGACAGTTTGTCACCATGCAGTGAGCACTCATCTTCCTGTTAATCTCTTGGTGGTTATCAGGACTTGATGGAGGATGGGGAGATGGGACAGAATCACGTTCAAGACGGTAAGAATTAGACCTTAAATTTACTACAAAAGTTTGCAGGGAATCTTGGGATAGGTGGATAAAATTTAATACAGATCAATGATTTTATTTAGGAGATAGCAAGAACTGCAGGTGTTGGAGTCAGAGTCAATACAGTGTGGAGCTGGAGGAACACAGCAGGCCAGGCAGTGTCAGAGGAGCAAGAAAGTTGATGTTTCAAACTTTGCTGCACCTCTGATGCTGCCTCATCTGCTGTGTTCCTTCAGCTCCACAATAATTTTATGTAAAAAGATCAAGACAAGAGGCTGATTTTCTAAGGAGTGTCTTTAATGGAGGAGAAAGTGAGAGAGAGGGAGAGGAGACGGTTTAGGGAGGGAATTTCAGAGCTCGGGGCCCAGGCAGCTAAAGGCACGACTGCCAATGTTGGAGCAATGGGAACCGGGGAAAGAGGCTGGAATTGGAGGGGGTGACAGGGATAGGAAGGGATGGAGGGGCTGGAGGAGGTAACAGAAATAGGGAGGGGTGCAGGGGCTGGAAGAGGTTATGCAGAGAGGCAGGGGGAGGGAGGGTGTAGGGGCTGGAGGAAGTTACGCAGACACAGACAGACAGACAGACAGAGAGAGAGGGGGAGGGAGGGTGTAGGTGCTGGAGGAGGTTACGTAGACAGGGAGGGAGGGAGGGAGGGTGTAGGTGCTGGAGGAGGTTACGCAGACCAGTAGGGAGGGAGGGTGTAGGGGCTGGAGGAGGCTATGCAGACAGAGAAGGGGGCAAATTGTGGGATACTTAAAAACAATGTAGAGAAATTGAAGATTTCTCTTATCTGTTGCTGATGACTGTAGTGCTGTTGTGTAGCTCAGCGCCTCCCTGTCAGGCTCTTCCTCGGTACCTCTGGGGGAACTGAGTGTGAGAGTTGAACGAGAGGTGATCAGAGATGACCCGACTTGTCACTCCTCTGAGTCTTGTGCTGAGACGCACCATGGTGCTGACTTCAACAAACTGTGCCTGAATTTCAGTATTATTCCATTCTTATGTTTTCCACTTGCAGTGTGCCAAAAATTCCAGGTTCTGGAAGATCGAACAGTGGCCCATGTGCTGCAGGAAGAAGAGAGTGAGTATGGGGTTGTGTGTGTGTCTGTTTGTGTGTGCGCTTATCTCTGTATTGTCTTGGCTTATATTTGTGCCTGTCTATGTTTTTGTGCCTGTGTATGCGTGCAGTTATGCCTGTATCAGTTGATTCTTGTCTCTGTATGTTCATGCCTGTGCCTATGGAGGGTTTATATTACCTGCCTGTAAAAATATAGGGGTGTGTTTGCATTTGTACCTCTATTGGTGTGTGAGAAGGTGCCTGTATTGATGCCTGTATCAGTGCACAGGATGTGTCACGCCTGTACCAGTATGCATCTTTGTTTATGCCAGTGTCAGGGTGCGAGTGTGTACTCCTGTCTGGATTGAAGTGTACATTTAGGCCTATATTGTGTGTGCATACATGCACACACTCGTGTTTGTGTGTGTGTGTGTTGGAGTGTGGGTGTGTACTGTTGCCTGTATTAGGGTGTGGCTACATCAGTGTTTTTAATGTTTGTAGTGAGGTATGTACGTTTGTGTCTTTAGGTATCTGTGTTAATGCCAGTATCTGTTTCGGCCTGTGCCAGGCTTTGAGCGTATGGGGCTGTATGTGGTTGTGCCTGTACCAGGCTGTGAGCATATGGCGATGCCTGTATCAGGGACATGAATGCGTGTGGTTGTGTGTGGATCGAGGTGTGAATATACTGTACCTGTGTGTGTGCGCGCGCGCCTGTGCCTATACTGGGGTATGAACGTGTAGGATTATGCCTGTAGTGGGGTGTAGGTGTTTGTGCCTGGCTCAGGGTGTGTGTGTGTCTGTCTGTCTGTCTGTCTGTCTGTCTGTTTCGGTGACCTCAGTGATTTAATTCCCTCTCTCAATGCTGTTGCAGTTGAACAGCATCTCTGTGCCAACAAGCTGAGGAGCCACCGAGTCCGCCTCAATCTCCAGGTGGCAAAGAGACTGCAGGAGGAGGAGGATGAGAGGAGCAGGCAGCTCAGACGGCAGCTCCACAAGTACATGTGAGGCTGGGGCGAGGGAGAGAGAAGGGTGTGAGGGGATGGTGTGCTAGTGGTAGTGAAGGGGCAGGACCACTGTTGGCTGTAGACTCCTGGATCTGTTTCCTCCTTGTGTCGAGTGCCGATGAGCTGCCTATGACTCAGCCTGCCAGAGGCACTCAGAGGGAAGAGCCTTGTAGAATCCAGAGTCCTTTCAAAATCAGTGTTCTTCCTGCGCTTGCATTCTCTCCTCCTCTCCAGCTGGGAAAACAGGAGCAGGAACAGGCTGCTTGGCCCTTATTGGCCTCTTTCACTGTTTGATTGGATCCTCAAACCCACTGGCGCGACTGTGTTCCGTGTTCCGATTCCATAATATCCAGCGACTCATACTCCCCCTCCCCAATACCCCTCCCTATCTCTGTCGCCTCCTCCAATTCCAGCCCCTACACCCC